ACGATTTGTTGCCACTGTCTTGGCCTCGAAGTGGCGCCCCAGTACTGTAGAAGTACGATTTGAAGAAGTACGATGTGTTGCCGTTGTCTTAGCCTCGAAGTGATGCCCCAGTACTAAAAAGTACGATTTGTTTCCGTTGTCTTGGCCTCGAAGTGTTGCCCCAGTATCAAGAAGTACGTGTCGTTACCGCTGTCTTTACTGAGACGTACGATTTGTTGCCGTTGTCTTGGCCTCGAAGTGGTGCCCCAGTATTAAGAAGTACGTTTTGTTACCCGTGTCTTTACTGCGAAGTACGATTTGTTGCCGTTGTCTTGGCCTTGAAGTGGTGCCCCAGACTGAGAAGTACGATTTGTTGCCGTTGTCTTGAAGTGTGCCATACAGCATCACTGATCAGGCCAAGAAGAACAAGAAGAAGAGTTCTCGAAACACTGTGAAACTACGAACACTCGACATGCACAACATGCAAAGAGGACCCACTCAAAGGCTCTTCAGCATCGCGATTTCCTATTCAGGCAAGCTTCTAGCCCCATGAACCCCTTGAGACGGTATCTAAACCCCAAAGCCATAAGCCCTAAAACCCCTAAACCCTAAACAAAGAAACACTAAAACCCAAAACCCTAAACCCGAAACCATCTTAATGGTTGCAGCCTCTTCGACTCTTCATAGCAACTTCCGACAACAGGCAGAAACACCCCCCCCCCCGGGAACCTAATGCCCAATGGACATAGGCATGAAACCCCCCAAAACTCTCCTTCACCAAACAGGCAACAGCCCTAAACCCATAACCTTGAACCCTAAATCCTAATCCACACTTCAGAAGCCGACATGAAGTACAACCCGAAACCTTGGACCCTGAATCCCAAACCCGGAGTTCCCTTTAAGAAGCCGGCAGGTACTGTAAGGGCCGAAATAAATACCAATGTGATCATAGCATAATATACCCCAAACTATATTCTACTTATTAAGGCCCCTATATTACCTATACAAGTACCCCCATCGAATCCTTTAAGGGAACCCTTATAGTACCCTTATAGAAGCTTTCAAAGGAGCCTCTACAACTTCCTATGGCCCTGGCTACACAAGTACCCCTACTTGGAAGGTCGGGGGACTTGGACAGTGGGTAATAAGTAGACTTATTAGTGCCCTACTAGGGGTCCTAATTGGGGTTATGATACTTATAACTCTATAAACATAACTACTTACTAAGTCCCCCGACCCTCCAGCTAGTATATTACACCGGCCTCTGTGCCACCATCTGCTGCGGGCAAGGCAATGGTCGCTGTGCCGAGGTTGAAGAAGCGCGAGGTCACCACCTCGGAGCTCCGGGACACCCCAGGGTGTACGCTTTATTAAGGGTTCAGGGTTTGAGGGTTTAGGGTTTAGGGTTGACACCCCAAACCTTACGGGTTTTTCATCTTGGGATTTGGGGAATGATTGAGGGTGCAGGGTTTGGGGTTTCAGTGCGAGGTGGACTCTGTAAGGCTTAGCATTTAGGCTTTCAGTCTTTTGGGAATTGCTTCCAATAACGACGTGCCCTATCATGACATGTGTACAGTAGAGATTCCTCAACAGGCTTTGTGGCTTCGGATTCAAGAAGCTCAGAGGCGAACATGATGGCTTTGGAATCACTTTCACTTTCAGCATAATTACCTTGTCTGGTCTTAAAGTAATCCTGTGTGAAGGACGCCAACTCTTGCAAAGTACGAAGTCTGCAATTAAAATCATCGCGCTGCCGTTGGCGAAGGCGAGCGCGCACGGTTCATAATCAAAACCGATACACCATCATTGGTGCTGGTCAACTTTGTCCGGAACTCTGCATCCGGCGCTCGGACGCGAACCCGGACGAAAAGTGCCTGGTCAGTCATCGCCGCTGTACAATGCTTCAGGGTCCACAGTCGACGGTTTGACAAAGACCGCCAATACCTCGGATTTGCTGGAGGACGCGAAACATGGGTTCAGAACCTTTCCAACAAAGCTGCCGTGTTCATTCGCGGCAGGTGGCCTACTCCGCTGTCCTTCATTATTACCCTTGTCCCTCTATCTCCGAGTTTTTGCTTGCGATGCTTCTTGCTGCAAGGGATCGCTGAGCTTTCCGACCCGGACAGTAACTTCCGTCTGGTGCGCCTAAACTTAAGCCCTAACCCCTAAACCGTAAACCCTAAGCAAGCTACTCCCAGCTTCTACCCCAAAATCCCGGAATCATGGGTTCTTTCACCCCAGCCCACGAAAAACAACGGTAGACTGAAAGCTCCTCATCCGACGAACCCTGGACCCTGAAACCTAAAGCCACAAAAGCCTTGAAAACCCTATCGAAGAAATACGAGCTACAGGAAAACGATGAAAAACCTCACAAGCACCTGAAAACCCAGGCACCCGTTGTGCCACACAACATCCAAGGGCTCGAGCTCCCGAAGGGGGTCGACCTGTGTAACGGCCTTAATAACTAGACTAGGGTTTAGGGTTTAGGGTTTAGGAGGGTTTTAGGGCCCTTTATAGTATAATTACAATAAGGAATCCCCAAAATAATATGGGCCATTATTGAGGTCCCAATATTATCCGGAGGCTCCAAGGCTCGATCCCCCTGGCTTCGGGCTTGAAAGTTTAGGGTGAATGCTGCAACCCTGCCTCGCGGGTGTTTGGGATCACACCTAAGTCGAAACCTTCTAGACCTAAACCTTAAGCCCCAAAAAAGACAGCCTCCTGAGAGTTCAGATCGTTCATCAGCTGGAAGATCTGGCGCCCGTCGCGGAAGGTTGGACTGATGCTGGCTTGGGTGAACCTGCACAGGAGCCCTGCAAGAGGGCACAAGGAAAGGACGGATCAAAATCCTCTTAACAGTGCCCTGGCACCCCTGAACACCTTAAGCATAGAGGTACAGGTAGCGCGAAAACACTCTTTTACGGGCCTATAAGTTTCAAGAACCCGAATGGGGTACTCTAGCTTTCTGAAATCCGAACCCTGCACCCGAAGAATCGCAGTTTTCTGAAACCCTGCTGTCAACTCGAAACTCTGAACTCCAACATCTTCAGTTTTCTGAAGCCCTTTTAAAATTCGAACCTTGAACGCTAAAACTTAATAGTTTTCTGTGAGACCCCCGACCTAGCCTCAGCTTCCTTGGGTCCATCTTGCGCTCCACACGGAAGAAGTCTGTGCCAGTCTGCCAGGGGGTGGTATGTTCAGGGGCTTAGGGGTTTAGTGCATTCGGCTGCTATTCGGGTTTTCAGGATTTGAGTCTTGCGGTTTGGCGCTGCAGGCATGAACTGGAGTGGGCCATCAGACTAGGTTGATCTGAACTATATCTTCAGGTGTTTGTCTACACTCTACTTCTTCTTGACGGTGTCGTGTGCATTCAGGAAACCTGACCTTCTAAGCTTCAAACCCGAGATCCCAAGCCGTGATGAATCTGTTCCGCCACTCCGATTCAGAGCCCACGAGAGCTACGGAAGCGAAGCGGGTCGGCAGACGCACCTGCGAGGAGGACTCTTGGAAGAGGAGCTGCTCCTCTTCGGGGATTGACCACCTAAGCTGCCAGGAACTACACTCCAAGCCGTGCCGCGCGAAGACTCAGGAATCGGGCCAACTGCCCTGACAGTCACTGGAAAGTGCTATCGATGGCGAAAGAAGCAGTCTCATGGGGAAATGCTTTTGGGTTGAAACTGGCTTCTCCTTCTTTCTCCTTACCTAGAACGCCCCCGGGGCTCGATGTCCGCCCTAGACTGCCGGTCTTGATCTTATAATCTTGCCCTTGTAAATCCCCTACAGCGCATCTCATGGCACAACCCTAAACGCCGCGTCCCTGGACTACAGACTCTAAAACATTCTACAACTCTCAATCCTCGAACCCTAGGCCCCAGACCCTAAACAATATTGGAAACCCCAAACCCCTAAGCCGAAGCCCTCAACCCAAAGCCAAGCAGCTGTGCAACAATGGCCTTCACAACATCTTTGCGGCTCGCACAGGCTGCGGAGAGCTTCTGACCGCCAGGGCCGTAGATGACCGTTTTCCTGGCTTCCTGCAGCCACCCTAAGGGCTAAAGCCTAAACCCTAAACCCTAAATCCTAAACCCTAAACCCTAAACCCCAAATCCTGGACCCTAACGCTAAATCCTAAACCCGAAACCCTAAACCCCATCTGCGGGGCGAGGGCTTGGGTGGCGGTGCATGGTTTGGGGTTGCAAGGGCTTAGGGCCTCATGGTTTTTGCAGGGGCTTAGAGCCTCAGGGCCTCAGGGCCTAGGGGACTTAGAGTCTATGGTTCAGGGCTCGGGCTTCGTTTAATTAGGGTTTAGGGTTTAGGGTGATGGCATCTGAAGGGCAGGTGCTCAGTCGCCACTCCGCTGCTGTGGGTTCCAAGGCAGCAGGTCCTTTGTCGGCGGTCATGGCTCGCTCACCTGCCGTCACAGAGCGGCCAAGCTTCGAATCATGGTTGCAAAGCCAAAGCACACAGCAGGACTCCCTTCGTGCCAGTGCTCCACCTTTCCGGCCGGCCCCGGCGCCAGAGCCCTTAGCCAGTCAGAGCATGGCCACGCCGCCAGCAACCACCATCGTTGCCGCCCAGCCTTCGACTCCTCCAGGAGAAGTCGGACCCAGCCTTGCGGATTCAGGCGCCAGCTTTGCGGACTCCACATGGAACCCCCGAAGCAGCATACATAACCACTCGCCTGAAGCCGGAAGCCTTGCAGCCTTAACCCCGGGCCCTTCGCCGGCTGTACCAGAAACTGCCGAATGCTCGAAGAAACAGGTGCAAGCCGTGCCTCCACAAGTTCGTTGAGGTCCGAGGAAGGTGGGTCGTCGGATTCCACGGCCGATCGGCCGCCAAGCCCTCAACAGGACATCCTGCAGCCAAAAGGGTTTAGTGCTTTGAGGCTCGGGAGTTTTCGGGGGTTTAGGGTTTCTGCACTTGTGATTTGTTCACTCAGAAATTCGTTTTTGTTTGTGCTTCTTCACACAATCATAGCTTGGCCACTCTCATGTTGCTAGTCTCGTTGGCTTTTTCGAACCCTAAACCCTAAGTCCTAAGCCCCTAACCCTAAACCCTAGAACCTTGGAACGTGCGGAGTGGCGACTGAGACTGAGCAACTGCCCTTCGGATGCTATGTCTGCCTTGGGCTCGCTAGGAACAGAAGCTGTTAACGCACTCGACGGAGGAGCTTCGATGCCTGGAGTTGCCTCTGACGGCAAAGGGGCGACTGCCTGCGGAGCCCGCAGGCTCATGATGCTCCCAGACTCACCAGGGGTAGGCGGCATCAGAGCAGGCGGTGCAACCTCCCCTACCGGTGCGGGTGCGGAGCTGACGTCGCTGTCATGTTCGGGTCCAGTGCATCCCACCTTCCTCCTGCGGATGATGCGGCGGAGTCTCTTGAGGGTATATGGATCCAGCCGCATTTGACGACACGTCGCTCCACACTTGTGACTGTTGAAGAAGGCCCGCATACCCTCGACACCCAGATCACCTGGCCCGAAAGATTTCTCCAGGGACACCACTTGCGGATCTGTCATGATAATGTGCGGGCGACGCCGATGTTCCTTGTCCACATACACCCCCTGCAGGTCAAGCACCATGTGTTTCCCACCACTTGCCTCGAAGGTGAAATGTGAGAAAGCCTGCGCAATCTCCGTGTCGGGAGCTTCTGGATTCACGTAGCCATGGTTCGAGTTGTACTTGAGGAAGGATCCTGGCAAATACCGTTCGCCGACGAAGAACTTGGTAGGTGCGTCATATCCGTCCCTTGCCTCGTAGATGTAGCACTCCACGAAGATAATTCGAGCCATGCTGCGCCCTTTGAGACCTAGCCTGTCAGCTGCCGCAAGCGTAAATATGCGAGAATACCACTTGGCTATTGCACTGCTCTTTGCATAGGCTGACACGACATCAAAGGAATTGTGCCACTCATCCGCGTACCTTGACAGCTTCGCTACCATGCGAGCATTAGTCCCCGCTGCCCGCATGGCCATTTCGTCGTTGCCCTGCTCAGCCCAGAGCTTCACGCTTGAGTCCTTGAAACAATATACATGTCGCATCCCTCCTTCTGTGAACGGCTGGAGTCTGATATACACAGGTGCTAACAATGAGCCAGGTCGATGCAGGTACTCGTGGAATCCTTTGCCATTGAAATTCAGTCCGCGGCGGCTGCTTGGAAAGTTGATGGATCGGTCATCCCAAACGAACTGGTGGGAATACTCGAAGGTCACTTGCCTCTGGTCAGGGTTGGGCGACATGCGGGACGTTATGCTTACGCAATGAGCATTTAGTATCTAGTGATTTCATGCTTACAGTACAGAATGATTAATTAAACAGTTAGACATATAGGGCCCTGCAGAACAAAAAAATTGAAACGGCTTTAATTTCTTAATGATGGCTCAGCAGTAAGCGGTTTAAAGCTCAATCTACAACCAAGACTACGCGATCTCGCGCAAACTGCTCCCACTTGGGCTACCCAAACACAGACTTCTCCCCACCCATACTCTCCCGACCAAGGTCTTAAACAAAGTGCCTGCCAAGCCGGGTTAAATTCACTTCACTGTACAAACCTGACATCTAAGCACCGCATGTGCCACCCTTGCAAAAACTAAATGCATCCTGCACGTAGCAAAGCCACACGCACACGCGCGTGCACGCATGCGCACAGACACACACACACACACAAGAGTACACGTCTGCACCGCACACGCACTCCAACCAAGCAAACCCTGAAACCCGCCAGCCTCAACCTCCTGCCCTTGCAAACCGGCTTAAACCGTATCAAGGCTGTAGCCGCTTGAATGCTCTCTTCCTGGCGTCTCGCAAACTTGTTAAACATGATTGAACGCAAGCCTCTGCTGTGTGTAAACTGTTCAAGCGCCTGAAAATTTAACGCTTAACCTTCCAACGGGTTTGGCCCGTCCCTGCCTCTGGTTCAAACTCTTCTCCTTGGTTTTGTGCTGGGCATCGTCGCGGCTTGCCTGTCCCTGCGCATGGCCACCTTGGAAAGAGAACGTGCTCGACTTGCTCGTGCGGCTAGTGACCGTCTGTTGCAGTGTAATCGTCGACGTGACAGATGCAAAAGCTCCGTGCAG